TGTGAGCCTGCTGAGCAAGTCCAGAAGAGAGTTCTAGAAAGGACTGATCACATGTGGATAGAATTACTTTATTCATGCTGTTTGGCTTTCAAACTAGCTTTGTCTCAGAATGAGAAACAGGAAAACTGGTATAAGATTTAAGTGAGAGGGGAAGTGTGCTCTGCAGTCCTTTTATTTTCTTTGGGTTTTTACTGATGCATTGCTGAGCTTTTTATGTTAAAAAAAGTATGCTCTTTTAGCTGAGTGAAGTTGTCCACATATGCTTGGCCTTACTATATGCAGTCTGCTTCTTGCTATGAATGTATTCCTGTTATATCTGGATTGAGACCTCCTTGCCCCTCAGCAGAAACACTTTCAACACATGAAAACAGTGGTCTTCCTTTAGGATTTATTAGCCAATAAAAAGGTCATATCAGTGGTGTAAAGAGTCAGAAGAAAACATAATTAAAGATGCTTAGGAACTGACCTTGGCCAAATTTCACTGCATCTGGTAAAGATGGAAAAGCATCAGGATTTAGTAGTTTGTTTTAATTGTAACTTTGGATAGTAATTCACCTGACCTAAAGAGATTACTTTTGTCTGAGCTAAGTCTTTTTTTTTCTCTAGTATGTGTAGATACTGGTAAATTCAGCCAATATCCAGCCTGTACTATCTTAACTTGGTAGAAGCATTCATTGTGGAACTCTCTAGTCTGTAATGAAACAGAATTGTATAGGTGGAAACAAAAGCCTGTTTACAGTTAGAAACAGACACTGAGATAAAACATCCACAGAGAAGGCAGTACATCCGTTTCTCAATGTCCTGAAGTAGAAATCCTTTAATAGTTAAGAATGTCTGTACTTCAAATGTTATGACTGGGGAAGTAAGATGCAGGGGAAGTAAGAGCACGAATAGTATGAATTTCCTCAGCAGTTGAAAGGTCTTCTGAAATATTTTGTGTACAAAGAGATACTGCTTTAGCAATCCGGCTTTTTAAAATAACTTTTGGATCAACCAATTTCTCTTGCAGACTGTGTTTCTTGGTATCTTGATGAGGTCTATAGGGAACAAAAATACAGTTCTTCTTGGCCTTGGCTTTCAAATCCTTCAGTTGGCTTGGTATGGTTTTGGATCTCAGTTTTGGTAAGCGCACATTTTCATAGTTACATACCTGTTAAGGAACTAAAAATGTTTTTCCAAGAAATTCTACCATTTAATTTGGTTATCATGAGTATTTAAATGTGCAAAATGAGCATTCTTATTTGTGTTACACTACTAAAGTTCCATCTGCATTTTGCATATGTAGGAATGATAGAATTTTCCACTTATATAGTGCAAGCTGCAGACCAACAGCCCTTTTGAAAAAGGAGTCTTTGCATCATTTTGGTCAACTGTGTTTTAACCACATCTACAAATGTGGTTAAAACTTTTCCTTAAACTCACAAGCTAGTATGTTCTCTCCAGTATTTCCACCAGATCCATTCAATCAATCAGTCACTGGACCTCTTTTATTTTCTAACATGTTATTCTCCTCCTATAACTGTATTTGGTCTTGGAAACTGTATTGATTTTCTTCTGTTGGAAAAACTGGAGGTGAAGTCAACTAGAAAATTTGGAACAGCTTTTTCTTTACAAAGTTTATTGTACTATCAGTGATGAATGCTATTTCTTTATCAGAGCAATTCCTAGTCAGTTATACAAGATAGAGAACCGCCTCGTTGGGACACCCTGTGAAATTGTTCCTTCGTACATCCTTTGGAGAGGGAAAGTCTGTGCATTACTTCACTCCCACTCCCATCTTTGCCTTTGCTGTAATAGCTAGTGTAGTATTAAATATGCTTCTCTTCCAATAATCTCAGGGTCATTTGTGGGAAGGAAGTAGGAAGAAAGCCCATACTGGATGATTTTCAGTCTTTAGATATTTCAATAAGAGTACTTTTGAAGGTACCCGTGTGGCACTTTCTGGAGGGATGGGGAGAGGTTATGTGAACAGTCTCATTTTCAATTCAGACTATGTATTTAACACAGGATGATGTGGGTAGCAGGAGGTGTAGCAGCAATGTCAAGCATTACATTCCCGGCAGTTGGTGCTCTTGTTTCACGAAATGCAGAATCAGACCAACAAGGTGAGTATTGAATGAATTTCTGTTTCAGCATCACACTGCTTTCCTGGATGACTCTTCTGACTAGAAAGCAGAATACTCATCTAGGTGTACTTCTCAAATATGTAGATGAATAATCAGTTCCTTCGGTAGTAGCTGTGGGAGTCTGTCAATCTATCTAGGGAGGAAGGAGATACACAAATTTATGAAATTTGTATTGCAAAATACATAGTTTCTGTCTGACCAGCTAATTCTAGATTCCTGTAAAAGTACCGCAAAAGCAACAAAAACAGATGTGGTAACTTTCATGGTTCTTTTCCTTCCTCTTTTTTTTATTAAAGGTAATATTCTCTAAATAGATAATGAGGATTATTGTAACAATACGATATTTTTAATGGAAACTAAACCACATTTTACCAGATTAAAAGAAACATATACAAGAAGCTGTATTTGTGTGGAAATTTGGCCCTATTTGCTATGATACCTAGGATTTTCAAGAAATAGAAAAGCAAGCTGAAGTAAGTAGCTGGTCTGAGAAAACTGAAGAATTCATTGGTTTTAATATGAAGGGGAATGAGCAATCAGAAATATAACTCTTCATTTAAAATGAAGTGAGGGAGGGACTCATCACAAAGTATAACACTGGCGTATAATAACTGGATTTAGTGTTCTCTGTAAAAAAACTCAGCCTGTTCATATAAATTGTAAGTATCAGTCTCGCTTTAACATTGTACAACTTGGAGTTAGATTAGTGCACTTCAATATGGGAGGTACAAAGATGCAGTTTTAAAAGGGAGATTTCTATTGAGTTTAAAAGGTGCAAAAGACAGTATTTTACATGGCTTGTTTTATCATTCCCTTGTCCCGCATTTTTGTATCTAATAGAGTAATTTAAAAGAGTTTTGAAAGACTTATTTTCTTTTTATGTCATGAAATGAATAGTGTAGTTGACAGAAGTCACTGATTTTTCATTTTATATAGAGGAAACTACGGTTAATAGCTCAGGCATACAGTAGTTTCTAAAGTGAAGTTTTGCCACCTAGTGGCATGAAGGTTTTAAGCTTACATGTTAGCCTATGAAGAAAAAATTTGGTCAACTTCCTTTTTTGGCATGTTTTCTTCCCTTCTCTTTTACGAGTTATTACTGCTTTAAGAAGGAAGCAGATGTCCGGACTACTGATATTGTAAAAAGAGTGTTCTGTAGAATCTTAATCTGTAAGATTGTAAAAAAAATTTTTACACCATTGTTACTTAATGGAAACAGAAAGACACCCATAGAACTCTGATTAATCAGGCTTTTAAAATAATCTAATGTAAAACAGTAACCAATCTGGTATTGTGAATTTACTACAGTATTGCTGAATATACTGCCCCAAGTAAGTTATTTGATACTTCAGTAAATCCTGGAATTAGACTAAGGGGAAGAAATCTGTTACAGTTTGTGCATATTCTGCCAATAACAGCCCTTAACACATAGATAGATTACTCTAAATTTCACTTGAAAATAAATCAAGCAGGTACCACACTTAACCTCTGCTTTCTTCATTGTAGGCTTTAGGTACAGGTGGAAGAACTCTAATGCAAAGCATTAGACTTGCAAACTTGCGCATAAATTTAGTTACTCATTTTCAAAACTTATATCACTCCCAGTAGCATTCAAGTACAGTAACAGACTGTGGCCATGCAGAGAATAATTCTAATCCATCAAAGTTGTCTTTGGTATATTTCTAAAGATTGTAATATGTAGAAATAGTTATGAGAGGTGCTATTTTGGAACAGCCATTAGAATACACTTAGAGCTGTTGGCTCCCAGGGTTTAATTCTTGATTATAGAAAGTAATAATCCTTCTCTTTCTTTCTTTCTTTTCTTCATTAGGTGTTGTCCAAGGGATAATAACTGGAGTAAGAGGTCTGTGCAATGGCCTGGGACCAGCACTGTATGGCTTTATTTTCTTTCTTTTTCATGTGGAGCTCAGTGAATTGCCACCTGATCAGATTTCTGGAAAAGAAGCAATGCAAGATCCCAGTGATGAGGTAGATTTAAAATTTGATGTGAAGTTTGCAGTGTAGAACACTGGTAAAAGCATAAATATCTTGTCATTTTTGGTTGATTTGAAATCTTGATTTTTGAACTATGTAGTTCTTGCTCGTCACCTTTATTGAACTATTAAGATAGCTTTTAAGTTAAATTTGTTAGTAAATATTTAGATTTACAGTAGTAACAGCTTTGGTTTCAGTATTTAACAATTGGTTAACTTTCACATAAATCCACTCAACACACACCTGTAATTCTGATTTACAGCAAAACATGAAATTTTGACAATAGGAAGATAATTTTTGGAAACTCAGTGAATTGCAACAGGTTTATCTTTTAACCTCACATCAGTAGGTTAAATATTTATAGGGTTTATTTGTTTGGGTTTTGTTTTTTTTATTTTGGTTTAGTTTTTTTTTTCAATAGCAGTTAACAATGCTGTTCTGTTAACCACACTTCCTTACCTGTATGAAATATGGGGGGGAGGAGAGAAGTTAATACTTGGGGTTTTTTTTAATCCCTTCCAACTCTGTTTCAGATCTACATTTTTGCCTGCTTTGTTCTTTCATATTTGGCTTCCAAAATATCAAATGTATTCTTACCAGAATTTGGAGGATCTTATGGACCCTTTTTACTTTTTTGCTTGATTGCTCTGACCTCTTCAGCTACTATGTCATTACTTTGTCAAAGTAACTAAGAATGGATTTTTTGGAGAGAGTGATCTCTTAGTTTTTCATTAAGATGTTTAAGAAAGACAACAGATTAGCTGAATATGTAAATAACATGTGTCTGTCACTGTGGAAACAGCTGTTTGTTGCTCATCCCTGAGTCCATGCATCTTTCCAGATACTAACTGTAACTAACCAGTGCTTGAACATACTACTCACTGTGGTACCTATGGTGGGGTGCTCTGTAATTTGCTCAAGCAAACCAAATAGAGTTTAAGGGGGCAAAGACACTCTTCTTGTTGTACAGAAAGGAAACTGTAGTAAAATATTGGAAAACTTTTATAATAATGATTTCATGTTTTCAAGAGCTTTGTCATGCTTCCATTAGTTAAAATTTTGCTCTTAAACTTTGTTTTTTAAAGTGTTTGATCACATAACCTTTTCTTGGGGACAGGGAGTCTTTTGCCTTTTTGACCTTGTACACACATTTCTGGCACAAGTAATTTCAGTATGTTTTGTTACTTCAAGGATATTCATGTGGTTCTTTTTGTTGAAGTAGCCCAGGTATACAGTGAAGGAACTGACTGTTTCAGTAAGTTATAAACGAGTCAAAACTCATTTTCTGAAGCTTTTGATTGAAGAAATTCCAGTACTGAAGCCTAATGTATAAGCTTCTGTATGAAATAATGATTTTTCTAAGCTGCAAATGTAAATTAAACTGTTGTTTTCTTGAAAACCTACTTATTACTAAGTAGGCATTTTTTAGTTAGCAGTACAGCAAAATCAGTAAGTATTTGCGTAACTATTATTTCAGTGGCACAGCTCTTATTATGTATATACTCAAAGCTTTATTAAATGTCTGTAATTACATCTCTCCCTGCATCTAACATGTAAAACTATTATTCAGGAAAAAAAAAACCCAAACGTTTTTTTCCTACTAATTCTTATGTTCAAGTCTAATGTAACAATGGGAAAGAACTCCACAATTTATATACTACATAGTACATTGATTTAAGTAAAATGAGTGGATGTGAAAACCGGGGAATGCACCAAAATTAGACTAGGAAATCAGTGGATGTGTACAAGCCTAGCTTGGATTTGCAAGGGCGAAATGCTAGCTAGCTGTCTCTTGATTTTGTTCAGTGTTTTAAATTGGTAACTCGGAGTTGCTTTACAAGTATACATACTTTGAAAAATGTTATCTTGATTTTATTAAATGCTAAAAATTTTTCAGTAAGAAGCATTCTAATTACAAGTTTTAATGGTCAAGACTTGTTTTAAAAAGTCACTGGAAGTCTTTGAACTGCAGTTAACTGATGTGTAATATATTTTAGTCTGTGACAAGCATTGTTGTTTGTTTTCTTCTGATGATTAAGCTTGTATTCTACCCCTGCTTTTTAAAAGCTGTGAGTCTATATAAGCTCAATTGAGAATGCACTGTTGCTGTCCTGAACGTTGTTCAAACTCAGAGTATTGTTGAGGTGAATTAAAAACAGTTCTTCCTCCTTTGTTTCCACTGCTGTAATAGTGAGTTATTACTGCAACTACAGGAAATAGATACTTGATATTTTCTTCTTTTTTTCTTTTTTTTTTAATTGCCTTTTAAGTATTCATTTCTGTTACTCTAGAGGACTTAAGAAGATTTTACTGAATATTACGGGTTTTTTTCCTCATGGAAGTGAGAGAGTTGGAATTTTACCATAGGTCGCAGTGTTCCATCAAAGAAAAGATCTGATGCACCTCTTCGAGGAAGATGGTGTATCTGCTCTGTTAAGCATAAACAGTAAAAATTAAGCGTATGTCTCTTAATTTCTTTTTAAATAACTGGCAGCGCAGTGAGCAAGGACTGCTTTTTAAAGATTTCAATGAAACTGCTGTAGTGGAATATTCAATAGGTGCTCAGGTAATCATACAAATCAAGATACTAATTTATGGAAGTTTATTACATTTTTGAAGAACTTCCAGGCTTAGCAGCACTTGAAGATTTAAGTAATATTGTTCATATAAATTCTGTTAATATGATTATATACTTTAAATTTAGGCACCATCAGCTGAAAAGTCTCTGCTTGTAATAAGGCCGGAGGAAGGGAAATATTTTGTTGCTGTATGGTTAATTTCAGCTACCTTCCCACTTCATATCAGAATAACTTTCTACATTTAATTTGGTAGAAAAAAAGTGCACTGGATTGACTGTTTCTGATTTTTATTTAGTTTCCATAGACAAAAATACAGAGATGTTGTTTAAAGATTAAAAAAAAAAAATACTGGATTGCTGGCTTTTTTATAGAGTTTTGTCATCAAACTTAGCTGGTTTAAAACTAGTTTTATAACCTTTTTGGTGATTGTTTTTAATTGTGGTTATAAAATGTGGATAAGTGTATGTTAAAATAAACTGCTTAGAAGTGAGGCAGAGTATCTCCCAATACCAAGTTATCGTATATGCCAACAACATGGCTTCATGAAAATGGTATGTACTGCATAGCCTGCTGTTACTTTCCTCACTCATGTATTTACTATTTTTTGGGAATGCTTTATTGTTTGTTCATTCAGCTAACTTGATTCTAAGGTATGTCAACCATACCTTGGTGAGTGGAACAAGTGAAGTTAAAGATTTTATTAAGCATTTGTACTTCTGGATGTTGAAACAGTACCCTATTAATCTTCAGAGGAGTCTTGCTGATTTAACTGGCATGTTGCCTAAAGAAAAAAAAATCACAAATAAGCATCGGTCAATGTCTGTTTCATCTGCTAGGCAGTCCTATTGTCAATTGATAGTTTTGTGCATGTTTCTGTTCCTTAGATCAGTGTGGAGATCAGGTGAGAAATTCTTAGGGATGCAGAGGATTCATGTTAAAGTGCGCATATGAACTTGTTTGCATAAACTTTATAGTCATGGTAAATATGTTTCCCATTATGTCCTGCCTTGGGGTACAATTCTTAATGCAGAAGTCAATGTCTAAAACTTTGTGAATTCTTTGATATGCTTGTTTCCTTGCAGAGAGCAGTCATTCCTGGTCCACCCTTCCTGGTTGGAGCATGCATTGTTCTTCTGGCTTTCCTAGTCGCCTTATTTATTCCTGAGCACAGCAAAAACAGCAGTACCAGAAAACACAGCAACAGCAGCAACAATACTCTGGGTAACAACCTAACCCAAAGTAGTGAAGAGGACATTGAACCATTGCTGCAAGATAGCAGTGTATGAAGGCTGCTTCTGAGAAGACTGTGGAAAAAATTCGCGCACTGAATTGCAGCTCTGAAAGCTTGGTGGGATATGTAGCGATCTTGCCTCTGAAAAGAAGGCAGCTTCCCATGTGACAAGGAAATGTCACATGCTGTATGATACTCAAGGTTGATACCATACCTGCAGGAGGGTTTGTTTAACATAGCAGATCACAGCTAGGTGTGACTCAACCCAATATTGGACTGCAAATGCTATGTCAAATACTGGTATTGGCAGAAACGTAAATATACAGGCATAATGTTTCTTGGGTTTTTTTAAAGTTTGAATGTTCCATTCCCAAAGTTGTATGCAAAATAACCAGGTTTGAGGCAGAATGGTTTCTGCCACCACTGTTAAATGTGGTTTTGTGTTTCTTACACCTTGTCTGCGTGTAAGCCACATATAGTCCTGACAATGTGAGAGGGATTGATCATACAATTCTGGTATCTGAAATACTGGTTATCAATAGAAGTAATACAATTCCTGAAGACAGATTCTACATATTATAAATATAAAAAGAAATCCAGAAGTTGCAAGAAAGCAATGATGAAACTGATGACATTTGAGGGTATATGATCACACATGACGGTCATTACACGTAAATGAAGATCATACTAAACCCTTAAACCCACATTCCAGAACAGTAAGTTCTGAGCAGTGAAAGCAAATCCAGATGGCACTTGAGAGCACTGGTAACATTAATGTTTTCTGATAAAAAATAGAATTTTAATCATAAAATGAGCGGCATCAGAAATATGGACACTTCTGACTTCTGAGGTAGGAAAAACAGTGGATGCCAGAGTAGTTTACATCAAAAAATATGTATATTTATTGCATTTTGTCACTTTATCTGCCATATGAAATAATATTTCCTATTAATTCTTTTCACCCCTGCCTTAACTGCTACTTATTGTTCAGTTATTAATCATATTTAGCCTTCATATCACTGTCTTACCTGCTGGATCTCATGGGTATATTAATATCAAATTTCCTTTCTAAAAGATGCTTTAAAGGAGTTATGAATGGTTACAAATGTGCTAATTTTTAGAGACATTTTATGAAAAATACAGAGATTTATATGTATTTTGTTGCAGTGTAAATGGACCATTAAACCCAACTTTAATGAAGTACTCCTATGAATGTTTTATATGTATGCAATATATGTAGATATTTGTAAGGAGTTTTAATTTTTCCAGATGGGGTGCTGTGTAAATCAAGTATTTATAAGTGTAATGAGGGTACTGACAGATATACAGTTTTTTAAAAGGATTGTGTATTGACTGAACAAATTTACGAATATATATTTTGAAACTTGTTCCACATTGAACAGAGATAACAAATCTTTTGTACTATGTGGTTTGGTTTTTAAGTTAATAAGCTTCCTAATGCATAATAAATCTACACCTTTAGCTTTCTAGGTTTCATGTCTAAGTGTGTGTTCTTCAAAGTCCATAGAATCATAGAATGGTTAGGGTTGGAAGGGACCTTAAATCATCTAGTTCCATGGCTTCACACTAGGCCGTGTTGCCCAAGGCTCTGTCTAACCTGGCCTTGAATGCTGCCAGGGATGGAGCATTTACCACTTCTCTGGGCAACCTGTTCCAGTGTCTCATCACCCTCACAGTAAAGAACTTCTTCCTAATGTCCAATCTAAACTTACACTTTTCAGTTTTTAAAAAAAGTTCAGTTTTAAACTTTTAGTTTAAAAAAGGTTTTCCCTTGTCCTGTTGCTACAGGCTGTGCTAAACGTCTTAGTCTTTCTTGTAAGCCACCTTTATATACTTAAGGAGTCTCCCAGAGCCTTCTCCAGGCTAAACAACCCCAACTCTTTCAGCCTGTCTTCACAGGAGAGGTGCTTCAGCCCTCTGATAATTTTTGTGGCTTGGCTCTGAACCCACTCCAAGAGGTCCATATATTTCCTCTGCTTGGGAACCCAGAGCTAGATGCAAAAAAATTGATGATGTGCAATATGCTTCGTTGTTTTTGAAAATCTTGGTTTAACACTGCAGCATGGAGATTTGAAGGTCTGGTTCTAAGTTCAATTTATTTTAATATTTGGTTTTAGTGGCTGTCATTGCTCATAAGAATACTTCACGTAGATACATAGATCCAAATGGAACAAGTGCATTGCTGGCTATGCTTATTAAATCGTGATTCTCATTTTTCAATCCCATCCAGGAATTATGCAGAAATACTTGTTAAAATTCAGGGAGCAGGTTTCCATCCTCTCTGCTGTTAATCAGTTCTTGCAAGCTAACTGGAAAGTCTTGAATTTTTGTGGGTTTTAACAAATTGATTGAGAACCCTCTAAACCTCTTCATTTGAAGAAGGGGAAATTTTTTTCAAGTTCAAATGTACAGGTGTCAGAGTTTTTATAGGTGATACCTTTGCACTGCTTTTTGCAACGAAATCATGATGATGGAAACATTTCCAAACTTCTGTTTTCAAAATGATCTCTCCAAACGATAAGTTACTTTAGAAAAGCAGTTATTTTCCCACTCACTGTCAAAAAGTCACCTTTACCTTGAAGAGATATATGAAATGTTTTTATTTTTCTGGCCTAGGTAGCATAGTACTGACAGACCCTTTTCATCACAGGAGAGGTCAGCAGGTTTGGAACCCTTGCTTCTTTATTTATGAAATTAAAATGTATACTCACTGTTAAGTTTGATTACTCTTTTAAACACTTTACCATGAGATAACCAGTGAACCTCTGAGGTACAATAGACTTCTCTTCCGAAAGTATTGTGAAGATTCAAATATTGAAAGTTCTTGGGTTTATAAAATTATAAAATTAACCACATTGATGACATCTTGTAGCACTTTGTGTGCTTCTAGCTTCAACTTAATTGCTGCACAAGTAATGGATAATGTAAATGCAGTCATCTCAATTAGGTGCTAATAATGAAGCTATGATATTTTTTATAATCCTTGGTTTTGTTGGCAGGAAACGATGGCCACCTCTGATTGCATAGCCAAATGAGAATTTAGGCTTGTGGGTTTCAGAAAGTTACTTGTATCTGAATTATCCCTTAATTGCTGCCATATGTATCCCTTAATGCTTATGTATCAATATAATTGTGAAGAAATAGGCCATAAAGGAAACTCTGCTGCTAGCTCTGAAAAAAGGCAAAAATTTACCCAGAAGGACCTTATTTAATAATTATTCAACAAAAACTGACAATGAATAACAGAAAAGCAGCATCAGCCATATCAAATGACTTATCTACACATGGTAGGTGTCACTGTTCTTGAAAACTTTGCTGTGGTTCTATTGTTTTCTTTACAAAATCTGTTTTGCAGGCAGGTTTTGTCTTACTGGCAACTATTTTTCTTTCCCTTCTCCTCCCAGTTTTGACAAAGAGCATTTCTAAGCATATTTTTATGCTTTGCAGCAAAATACTGCAGTCTTTTCTGAAAGTGAAGAGTTCTCTTGTTAGAGATACTTAAGAGTATGGAGGTGTCTGCTGTATGTGTGCAGATAGTACTGTTGACAACTTGATGCTTTTTCTCAGAGCAGTGATTCAAACATACCTGTGAAAAATAGTGCAGGAAAAAGACATGACATAATTGTTCTGGTGACAGACTGAAGTGCTACGTGCTGAAAAAAAAATGGAACATACGAGTCTAATCATCCTTCCACATTGCTGAGAGCTCCAAAGCTGTTTTTTCTTGCTGCATTACTTCTTCATGCCTACATAATAACTGAAACGTGTTTTGTAATTATTGGCTGCGTATGTAGAATCAGAACAGTCAGGGTTGGTAAGGACCTTTAGATGATCTAGTTCCAACCCCCCAGTCATGGTACATAAGCAGCTGCAACATCAAACTTCTGTCTTGCCCCACTTGTCCTCTAGCCCCTACACTTTCTGCTCCATTTAAAGGCACTGTGAATTTTAACTCCATGCAGCTAGTGATTCCAGAAAGATTTAAACATGCATTTAAGTGCTACTAGGATACTTTAAATACAATATTACAAAAAGTCTACAAAAGGTATATTTTATATTTTCATTAACACAGAGAACAGGAAGTCTGAGGAATATAAATATTCACTAGACTATGCCACCTAAAGCCAGTTGCATTCTGCAGATCCTTGTCAGGCACCCATTTTGACCTCTGACAGAAGTTGCAGGCTTCTGTGCAGTCCATAGAGGAAAAAAGCTGTTTGCTTAGCTGCTAATTTGCAGTCTTACCAAATGGTTAAGGATTTAATGTGTTTGGAAAATGGGTTTCCATTTTTCCTCTAGAAGCAAGCTTTCCCTGCCAACGAGTTAGCTTTCATTTCTCAAACATGAAGCATGTTTGGGCAAATACCATGGGAAATACAGAGTGCTGGAAACTGCTAATGATTCTGGAACCAAGTAATCCAAAATAAATCCATATTTTTTTATTTTTAGTGCAAATCACGTGAAAACAGCATATGTGGCAAGATCAAGAGAAGAGTTCAATTGTTAGTGTTTCTAAAATTCTGAAATTATTTATCTGTATACAACATACATCAGCAGCATGACAGCTGCCCTTTGTGAAGGTGAAAGAAAAGAAAAACGTGATAAAGGTCGGGCTGTCAGGCAGCATATTGTAAGAAAAACACTTTCCGAGGGTACAGCCTCAGCAAAAGTGGGCTGGTGCCACCTTGACGTTACAGCATCTGTCAAAAGGAAAAACAACTCATGACTCTAGGCAATAACTGAAGGTAGTGAAAACAACCCACTTGCCCTATTTCACCCATCTCCGGGGGGGAAAACACATCAAGCTACCATGTAGCAATAATATTAAAAAATTCTGCATGGGTGCCTCAAGCAGCTGGTTGAAGTCGTGGTCTTTTATTTTATTAGGAAAAAGAATCATAGAATCATAGAATAGTTAGGGTTGGAAAATGCACAAAAGTAAAAGCATAACTTTAAAGTTTGTGGAAGAAGCCCAAGGCAAATATATTTGAATTTATTTAGGGTTTTTTTTCAGCACTGAATGTAGTAATATTT